TTCCTTTTGATATTTGTATTATTTTATTACAGAATAATACATGCTTAATAAATCACTAGTTACTAAGTTTGTGCAGCTTCACAAATTCGCTATTGTCAAGAAGAAACTTTTCTTCACTGAAAGTTGACATTCGATTTATTCGACGAAATGATTTTGTTCCTTTTTCTTCATAATCATCATTGAATTTCATGTTCACTATTCAGTTTCTTCTTTTATTCAATCACCTAAATGTCCATACAGCAGTGCCCATTACTTTCAATGGTCAAATAGGACAAGAAACTGAATAGACAATAATAAAGTTAATCATGATTGTGAAGAAATTCGGACGAAATCATTTCGTCGAATAAATTGAATGTCAACTTTTCAGTGAAGAAAAGTTTCTGCTTGACAATAGCGAATTTGTGAAGCTGTTCAATCGCATGGTAGGTTATTTATGATCAGAATGAACTTCCACTGAAGCGTCCTAATTCGTTTTTCTCCTAACTGGTGCTGTTGAGAGAGATATTGATGCGATTTTTCAATTCCACTATGCTTATCGTTGACTGTTCGTTCCGTTATTTGTTTGTATTTCGCCTTCTCCATTGTTGTCAACTGATCACACATCTTTCACATCTCCAATTTACCGAAGACTCAAAAAAGTAAGTCCGTTTTATATTATGAATTGTACCATTTGATACTTTCATTGCTTCTATATTTCTGTTTTCCTTTTGATATTTGTATTATTTTACTACAGAATAATACATGCTTAATAAATCACTAGTTACTAAGTTTGTGCAGCTTCACAAATTCGCTATTGTCAAGAAGAAACTTTTCTTCACTGAAAGTTGACATTCGATTAATTCGACGAAATGATTTTGTTCCTTTTTCTTCATAATCATCATTGAATTTCATGTTCACTATTCAGTTTCTTCTTTTATTCAATCACCTAAATGTCCATACAGCAGTGCCCATTACTTTGAACCGTCAAATAGGACAAAGCAGAAAACTTAATTCAATCTGATTCGAAATGAGTCTTATTATGTCTATGTCAAATTATATGTGAAAATGTAATTTTATGGTTGTTTTCATAAGTCATTATCCTTGATCAAACGATAACCGCTGTGAAATCAATCTATTAAAAATCTCAACGAAATAAAATTTATGCAAACCCTAGTGGATGTTAGGTGCTATGGCGTACAATGACGTGTTCATTTTCTATTTTCTCGTTAGCTGATTTCGCACATCTGTAAAGGTTGTTTTAACTGTTTGAATGAATTGATCACAACAATGCTGAGATCCACAAACAACCACATGTGCCTCTCTATTTATCATATAATCAACACATACAAACATGCACAATCAACTTCCCATTACCCTCCTTCATTTTACATATGCCACATTTCACGGAACCACTAGCACAAACACAAAACGAACAAACGTGGTGAAGACTCACATTAAATTACTTTGTCACATATGATTTGACAATGACATAACAAGACCCATTTCGAATCACATTGAATTAGGTTTTTCGCTTTGTCCTATTTGACCATTCAAAGTAATAGATAGTTCTGTATGGACATTTAGGTGATTGAATGAAAGAACAAACTGAATAGATAACATGTAATTCAATGATGATTATGAAAAAAAACGAACGGAATCATTTCGTCGAATTAATCGAATGTCAACTTTCAGTGAAGAAAAGTTTCTTCTTGACAATAGCGAATTTGTGAAGCTGCACAAACTTAGTAACTAGTGATTTATTAAGCATGTATTATTCTGTAGTAAAATAATACAAATATCAAAAGGAAAACAGAAATTTAGAAGCAATAAAAGTATCAAATGGTACAATTCATAATATAAAACGGACTTACTTTATTGCACTGAATTTCTACGACTTCCGTAGACGGTGCATAAACAAACTTAATCATAATGAAAATCAGTTGAATGTTAGTTTCTGTACGTTCATAATTTATCTAGCTTGCACTATTTAACATTATCTCGAAAGCACGAACTGTAGACTTATAATCGAGATGAACCTATACGACCAGTATCACTGGACTCACTTGAAATACGATGGCAGAACATTCCAGTGTTTATTCAAAGCTGAGTCAAGACCTTCTAAGAATTGATGAACAAACAATCTGCTTTAACTTCATTTTGTCTTGACAAAAGTATTAGTCATATGTGAAATGAAATTGTCATTCATTTTCGTTTGGTATGTGTCAATAATGGTCTGTCATATGAATGTGTTAGTAGAGAGTGGCATCCCTCATTATAATGGCAACTCATATCATGCTCAATACGCAAAAAAATGTCCTATCATAGATAATATTTTGTGATAAACAACGCGGAATTTAAATGAATGATATTTCAACAACAAGAAAAACAACGGTCAATGTTAACAGACAGATCTCACTGTCACATAATAGACATTGTTCATATCATTATTTTTACTTTTCGGAAAAATATTTTTTTTACGTGAATACTCAAATTAGATTGAAAGAAGCCAAATAGTATTTTTTTTAATGATTATACGTGATTTTCAAACACATATCGGTGACTGAATCGTCAAGTAACAATACTCAGTGTGAACAGTTTTGAGAGGATGAAAGAAGCTCGCGTTCCTTTCTGTTATAACATATACTGTCCTTCGAGGATAATAGTTTCTTTTTGAACAGAGTCATCTCCTCAATCACTTCAAATATACTTAAGATCTGTCAAAGTCTTTGTTTTGTCTAATGATTTTAGATGTTAAAGATGATTGTTCAGTTAATGGATATCGAGAATACGAAACACAAACAAACAACGGAACGTACAATCGTTAGTAGGCGTTACGAAACTGAAATCTCACTTCACGGTCTCTCTGTTTGGCATTGTGAATTAACATAGCATTAGTGTCATTCTCCGAAAATTTTTTATGCATTGTATATAGCTTATAATCTGTTTTGCCTTCAGTGCATATTCTGGCGAGTGAATTAGTGCGTGTCATCAGGCGTCTGTTGTCATTGAGACTGTAATGATTAGGTTTTTGCTACAGTAAACAGCTCGGAATGCAACAGGATGGAAGGCTTTTTAAGGATATGAATAGTTCGTTCTCTGAAATCCACGAAGGCATGTTACTTTTGAATTCAATAATATGTCGTCCAACATTCCTATTATGTATGAGATTTCATTCAACTTGTTATCTTGATTTCAGATAGCAGTCAATAATTGAGATGGTTCTGTAGCTTGTTTACTATATTTTTTTTGACTTATATTAAGTACATCATCACCAAATGTGTCATCAGTGCATACTCTTCTGGCTTTTGAGGATGAAGAATAGATCGAATTACTTTTCTTACCTGGAGAAATGGAAACCGCAAAATCATTTTTGGTCCGTTTATTACTTTTGCATTGATACCTCTTCGATGAAATTCATTAGCTTTTGATAATTTTGTAAAACTACTCTGTTTCATCACAGATCACTATAGCATCATCTATAATTGCATTTTTACAGCTTCTACCGGTAGCTATACGATTAAAAATATGTGAACGAAATTGATGTTTATTATTAGGAAATCGCCTTTCAGGTTTTGGCGAAACATTAGAAGTCTATTTATTGTCATTTTACCGATGACTTCAAGAGGTTCACCAAACACTTTGTCGACTGCTCTCTGTAATACTCACAATACAGCAAACGCTTTCTTTTTAAAGCTTGTCAAAGGATTATGAAGAAGATTAGAGAATAAGAGGTTATATACATGACCTGGCAAAATGTGAGATCTGATGTCGCATAACCTTAAAAGCATGTAGCCTCATTATGTTGTGAAACATACTTCATACTTACAACACATTTGCTAATAACAATAAGCGAAATAGGCATGAAGGTATAAGGAGACACTTCACTGAATACTTCATGATCCGAATCATACTGTTATCAAGCAGATTAACTGATCTACACTATCACATGCACAGATAACTTATGCTTTCGTATACACTTGACATTATCTTATCACTGTGATTTGGTTTTATATTTGAACACAGATGATATGAAATGCAAGCTCAACTAATGTGAGGGAATTGATCATTGAAATACACAGATAAAAATCAGTCTTCTATTTGAGTGTTGACAAACATTATAGTTTTCAGATACAATGATCAATGTTATAGATTCGAATGTGTTTGGTATAAGAAATCGTTCTCCAATTTCATTAGTTCACTTTCGGCGGAATGCATTATATTCCTCTGAATACAATGATTTGAGATCGTAACTAAATCCATGTGTAAAAGAGTATTTGTTACTATCCAATCAAAACAATTTGTGCTACTTTGATTTTGACCAATCAAATCAAAACAACTCATTGTCGACGAATAATTAATACATTATTACAGACAACAAACTGTTTGTTCGTAAACATGTGAGCACATATTTTGAACTACAATTTAATCAATCACCCATTTCATAATATTGTCTATCACATGGAAGATATGTTTTATCCACAGAGTCAAGAATTTCAACCAACAGTGTATAAATTTCAGCTCATGATCTCAACAGGCAGAAGAATATTGGTTTACGATAATGTCATATACCTCCATGATAGGTTTATAATAACCATCTGATTTTATTAAATTCCATCTTTCTATTGGTCACTTTGAATCATCGAATCAGAAGAAAACAATCTTACATTTGAAAAGTCTATATAAACCCGACAAATTTTATAGAAATTTGATTTATAACTTGACACGATAAGATGAGGTAAGTGTTGAATAAATATACGAACTCAAATTGAAATTTGACTCCATGAGTTACCGTTGATTTGTTCATCCTGATCATTTTAGATATAACTTTTCGCCTAGTCTATGGATAATAATTCATCTTATCTTCATTTGGCCCTACAAACGTTTCAACTGCAATGACATTTGCAAAAACTCTGATATGCGTCACTATGAGAAAGTCGTTATTGAAAATGATTCCTATCGATATGTATGTAATGTGATACATTCTAATACACATATTCCAGTCTCTTCATTATAATTATTCAATGAGGATTCAACGTAATCAATCTCAACCAGTTCCGAGTGACCGTTTCAAAAATAAAATAAGTTACATATACGTGAGTTGAATACACTTTAGAATAAAGATTTTTTTCCATATGTTTGCATCATTGAAGTATGGTGCACCCCAATTCTCATGTAGTTATTACGGTAGTCACGTACAGCAAATTCAGTTTTCCGAAGATTGTAAGTCATAAATTTTTTTGAAAGTCAAATTATTATTCAGTTTTGTTGATCTAATTTCTGTTAATGAATCAAAGTTCATACCATTTTCTCCAGTGAACCAGTTTCGTGCTACTTGTAACATCCAAATATCTTTGAATGTTTTTTTTCATTGTTCAACATGGTAATGGTTTGACTCTGTATAGCAAACCAAATACAGATCAGTTTTATTATTTAAAATTGATTATTCATTCATTACAAATTTATCAATGATGTTGCATGTTTTCATTCAGTGGATAGAGATTATGTATTTGCATTAGAACGGTCCCATATTGGAACTATTAATAATTACATAGAAGAAAATGAGAAATCTGAAGCTCGAGTTTTGGATGAGAGTGAGTTCTTATATTACTCAGTTATTCTTTGTTTTGATCACTTTTCTCGCACTTATTTTGTATAAAAGCTTCAGTATTTATCTTGATGATTACAGGAGTGGTAACCAATACAAAGTGATTAATGTGTTTGATTTGTTTATGCAACAGAACATGTGTGTATCGCAGCGGGTGTTGAATGCTGTAAACTGAAACCGTTAAATTGAACAGAGACCTACCTGAAAATATACACTTTCATCAAATAGAAATGATAAACCATGTGATGTAATTGCGAAAGTGTCAATTACCGACCGTCCAGTCTATGAAAACTACAAAAGAGAGGATATCTCATCTACACGATACTTCATGGTAGACTGAGTGAATAAAAGTGATCACTAGTGCAATAGTAAGCTATGTTGTGAGAGAAGGCGGTTTGGATTATTGAAGCCTATGAATTACCAAGTTATATTTGAAGTCCTCCAGTCCTTCAATAGCACTTACTTGTATCTTGAATGTTTAATATCTCGGAGTTGCTATGTGTTATTATTTGATTATTCAGACTATTTCTGTAATCGTTTTTGTATGATTATGCGTTTCGAATCCATGCATTTCGTGAAACAGCTGACCAATGAACGTGCTTGAACAGTCCGCTTGTACCAGGTGATTTACTCATACCAGAACACTTAAAACATCAATGTGACATTCATATATTTCGGTCAAACGTAGAAATTGATGAATAACGATGTCCAAATAACACTTTATTGTTGTTTTGTCGAATACCTATTAAACGTCTATTATTCAGTCAGAAGCTTCTAGAAGAAATTTAAAAGAAGTGAAATATTCTTCTCAGTTGATTGTGTTGAAACGTTCATCATATTTTTGAATTGATAATATTCCTTGAACCTTTCTCATGAGAGATGATTTAGCATTCAACTACTTCGGTTTATTTAAACCTGTAAATGGAAGCGACAACTTGTTTAAGTCGGACGTCCGTGTTAAAAAGTATATTTATTGAAATAGATAGATAATCATAATTCAGATATTTAAACATCCCTTTTGATTTTCATTATTTCAGAGGAATTATTAGGAGTCCAGAGGAATTTTTCGATAAAGATTAATGGTTCAGGTGAGTTAACATTGATCGCTCATTCGGTCACACGCGTGAAAATTTTACACTTACATCTTCACTACCTGTGATAACTCATAATTTGCTTGTTCATTTTAAACAATTCCTACCTTCAAAAAAACCATCAAAAGAATGAAGGTGCTTCTATTCTGGCAAATGATGGTAGAATTGAATGTGAAATTCACTCAGTAATTGAGTACATCTATTGAAACATTGGGAACAGTTGAAATGAACTATGAATGACTGTATTTGACAGGCAATCAATAAGTTATGATGGATATTTAAAGTCACAATCTCACTCTTCTTGTTAGAAAATGAAATCAGGTTTGAGTGGAACTTTATAAACAGTCTGTGTTCCAAAATAAATGAATTGTGTTCTACATTGGTGACAAAGTCATTGCTGCACACATTATATTCAACTAAACATCCTTTCATCACATAGTCATTCCTACTGGGAATTTGTTATCTAAAGCTATTCGTTTCTCATCTACAACAAATGGACACTGAAGTCAGAATCAGTTAACCGATAGAAATCTTTTTATATATACCACTAATTTATTTCTCAAGTTCAATATGTTGACAAACACTCCTAAGATCATGTCACGCGTACGGAGTGTCCATTGTTTCAAAATGAATTATTTAGGATATTGCGCGAATGTTATTACATCTCTGGCAATCAGACACCTGATGGTAAAGTAGACGACTTATTGTTTCGATAATGGTAATACAACTTCAGAATCTAGGCATTTTACATTTGTTAGAAAGGTATTCATGTCCGTCTCATTACAATGACGTTCACTTCAATGTATTGATTACCAATCCATCTCAAGAAAGCATTTCAGATAACACAGTTAATATCCACTGAAATCTGTTCAAAGTGTTACATCAAACAATAACTTGCTCATCGTTTAAATCCTCAATCTTGAGTATCAACATTCTTCTTAATGCAGATGTTACAGCCACAATGACGAGTTTAATACACCCAAATGGGAAGATATCGTTCTATTATGATAACGTGAGTTGTATAATTTAGTGAAAATGTGATATTGTTTCAAGTAATTCACATCGTTCTACTATTTCATGTTGATCAATATTGTCAAATGAATCTAGTTACACTGAACACGATATTGTGTAATAGGCAAACGGACTAGTTGACACTATTATCAATCCTCTAGTGACACTAATCGAGCAAGTGGTAGGAACAGTGAATAATCAGAAGTAAAGTTATTTCAGAAGAAACAATAACCTGTTCGTGCCAAATAGTAACTGGTTGTGAACGTTTGCCTACTATACGGAAAGAGTCATATTCTGTTGAGTTTTTTTCATGTAGTAACTTTCGGCTGTTCAGAATGTTCACTGTGGAATACCCTGGAATATCCTGTCAAATATTCACATTCACACTTCATTTCAATAGACAGTGATATTCATCTCACAAGTTATCGCCACATATCATGATGGAGAGAAGGTTCATAACACTTGACCGAAGTTGACAAGAATATCTATACAGATTGGATGGAACATTCATGGAAAATAAACTGAGAATATCAGTATGCCTAGTGTGAGTGCGATTAGTTGGCTCTGAATGAAATGATCTAAATGATGATACATTTCTCCAGTAATTATTCGATTTCATATAATGAAATGTGTAGTTGTAGATCCTGTCTCAGACATTCAAACATCTTTTTTCAGATTCCTAAGGAAATTGAGGAAAGTCAGTTGACATCGAAAATCAATGGAATAGAAAAATGTGGAAACGGTAAAAAATATTTAAACGAATTATTATTATTATTATTATTATTATTATTAGCTTTATTCAATATTATATATTTGGTTCAATATAGAATTTTCAGCATAACGTACTTCAGCAAGTTTCCGTTTCTTACTTCTTCGTCCTTCGTGACGATAAATATTCAGTGTTCGCCACTTAGAAGATTGCAGCACAGTCAATCGACATCTGGTTAATGTACATTCTTCTCGCTGCATATTGCCTTCTGCAACCGTTACAGCTGAAACTCTTACTCTTTTCAGAAATGCATCTGAATAGGTTGTGCGATTACTAGGCATAAAGATGTATTAGAACAAACAAACTTTTTGAAATATCTTGATGATAGGAACAGGTGGCCCAGATGTTTAAGAAGGAGGAATCTCGTTAACTTTTTGACGTACGGTGACGTATATCATCAATCACCGGTTAGTTCTATATTACTCTCTACTTGTACCAGGTCATGAGCATGTTAATGAACAAAATCCATGTATCTTATCAGAGAGAGCTTTCTAACAGTGATTATTATTCAGTTGCTTCTTGCGTAAAGTCAGTTTGTGGAAATGTCATTTGAGTGTTGTGGCTCATTGTGCAGAATAAAAATGAAATGATTTTTGTAAACACACTGTCTAAATATTTTGGGAACTTCTTGCAGTTTTGATTACCGGTAGACTCACACAGATATGGATATATGAATAACTTTATCAAACTCAAAATATATCCACTCATGTATTCACACACTCACAGTAATACAATCAAACCTGATCATCTCAACACTCAATGTATAAGGAAGTGTGTTTTGTATGAAGCAGAAATAAAGCAGTGCTAGTTTGGAAATGATATTTCTTCTTCGAAATGTTCAATCGTCTTGCTTCACTGAAATAAACATGTGTTGTTGATAGATGTAGCTGAGTTTGAAGAGGAGTTTTGAGTGTACGTGATTAGGTGAGATGCAGTGGTTATGACTGAATGTGAGACGGTTCATCAAATGTTCCGCCAGATGTTCTGCATTGACAGGTTTAGGTGAATTGTTGAGTCATTTACACAATGAAGATAATTGTCATTTTACATTCTTTGGTTCAGTGCTCACATGAGTGATTTTTACTGCAACTGATCAGTCCCTTATTCATATATATGCACACTGTTAGGATTATCTGGATGTTACTTGAAGTCACAAGCATTGTGCGTGAACATGGAATGGAGGAATAGCAGTGAAATCAAATACGGTTTCTCAACATCAATCCGAAGATTCATTTACAATTCAAAAATGATTTAAAGCGTCATACAGTTTCACAAGTCATTGAGTAGATTGACTGACTGAATAAGTGGATAACCGAATGTTAATGGAAATGGATGGTGCTGGTTTTCAGTCCCTGATGTTCCAAATAACATGAAACGCGCGTCTGAGATTGATATACCAATCACCATTGTTCCTTGATTTGTAGATTTGAATGTTGCCTCCGTGTAATATGTATTGTGAAATAATATGTAAGAGGATGAACGCATCTATCCCAGACGCCCAGTTGATTTCATCGTTAAATAACTCAAAAACGTAACTGTTTCATTTATAACTTAACGGGCCGTTTTCAAAATTTTGAGCTATGTAAACCATACTTTTTTAAGACAGTCATCACTCTGAACGTAATGAAAAATACTACAGATCCTTGATTTGCCCTCTACTTAAGTGAAGCAAATGAAATTGTTTCGCTTCAAAAAGAAGTCGAAATTCTAAATCTCTTCTTTCTTTTCAATTTGTCACTTAAGGTCTCACAAAGCATGAGATATCTGTTCCAGCAAAATGGATCAAAAGTGGTTCGTTGGTGGAGTTTGAAGCCATCGGAGGTACGTGAAATTTGATTTAATCAGCACTTACTATTTTCGCACTTATATACATTATTTATGTTTGCTCAAAAATTGAAAATCCCATGTATCATATTGTTGTATCCCCTGGCGAATTATGAATCATAAATCTGATGTCCATTTATGGACAAATGTAATACGCCTATTCCTATTGGATAGTTGTTAAATGAGTAACCTAAATCTGATGTCTATTTATGGACAAATACAATATGCCCATTCCCTATTGGATAGTTGTTAAATAAGTGACCTAATCGTTTCCGTGTTCCTCTTATCACAACCTTTATTTTGACCTTGGAACTATTATTATTGATTACTTTCCCCCTAGCTACAGCCACATTGGCCAATTGCTGTACAAATGTTATTTTTCTATTTCTTGGTATAATTGGGTCTGTTTGGTTAGTATATATAACCCAGTGTGCTTGTGAATAATGATTCATATTGTCGAGGCTGTTATTTGTGTTCTGCACTCAACTGGCTGGGCTAGGCAGATAGGAAGGACCGAATAGCACTCAAGACTGCTCGTACGATTTCAATCATCATTTGCGGCCGATCAATAAATTCACTCCTCTCTAATCGCACGTTCATACAAATTACGGGCGCATACGATATAACACATATAATGAATGATATCCAGGCATGTGTCTTATATGACTTTAAACTTTTTATTTATAACTACCCATTGATTCGTTGTTGATTATTGAGAATGAATAACGTCCGGTTTTTAACAACAATGAAGTTTTCACTTTGATGAAGTTAACTTGAACATAAAGTCACAAAATGAATGATGGATTGTTTTCGTTCTTGAAACATTTTAGGTTTTCGTAAGCGATTGTGCATTGAGCGACCTTTATTATTTATATATATTTGATGTAGAACTTTTCTGAGGCACTGAAGCTGTCATTGACGATTGGAAGAACGATGTCACTTTTCTTTTGTTGTTTAATTGAATCAACATAGTGCAATTTAAATTTTGTGTCTATGAACAACCACGTTTATGCACATATCTCATTCATAAAAATGATTTCATGGAAAGTAAGTGTATAACCATCAAAGTCGAATGCAATACGCTTTGCTGAACTCAGTGACAACGTAGTCTGCACATGTGTGAACAGTTATTGAAAGCCATTTATTTCCTCTTGTTGAAAGTCATCAGTTCTTCTACACACTCAAATTAGTTTCATTCAATTCAAACATGTAGTCTTGAAAAAGAAGAGAAATTGAAGGTGTACTGAGTTTTGCATGATGCACAATGTTTACCATTTTCCACGAAATGTAATAATCACATAACTGAGAAATCACAATCACATCATTCAGTGACAGTTACAGGTTTTGTATTTTTCTTTTATTTTCTTTGATAATCTCATTTGAAATCAACTTATTCATTTCGTAGAAATTTGTTTGCAATACAACACAAGTGAAACGTGCCAAAATGTAACGACATCAAACATGACATGTATTTGGTGTGAAAAAGGGAGGACGTGTATAGAAAGTAACGATCAGAACACTCATGGCTTCAAAGTGAATGACTGCCGTGTTGAGGTTGGTACTTGTTAAACTTCATAGGTCGTTTTCAATAACCTGAGATTTCGCATTCTCCGCAAACGTTTTTAATGGAAAAATACTTTCATTGCTATCAATAAGAACTTTCATGTGTGCCAGCATCCGTGACTGAATTGAAGCAATGTATACGTGGACGACATGTAATCAGATGTGGGTACAATGCTTCTTTTTTGTGGAAAAAGTTATCAATTAATCGAAGCATTACCCACCATCATCGTTTAAAAGCGTATTATTTCTTCAACTTAGTGAATGTGTAGTAATTTAAAAATCCTTAATGAAACCGTCAATGTATGTCAATTGTCATAATATACACATGAAACCAATTAAATTGAAGAAGCGTAAACCGTTGAAAACTGTGAATTACATCAGGAGAGTTAGTGAAGGTATTTAGAATCCCACTGTTGAATCCCAGAACAATAACTTCTGATTCTCTATTGAAAAATATGCAACCTCAATAGATTACTTCAATGAAGCCGTCAATTATAAGTCTATTGATTTATATCAGGATTGTGATTAGATGTGACATCCGGAACACAGACTTCAACATAAAAATAAGTCGTCAACTAGGTGTAGGATAGAGTTTGCTTAGTACACTTTTTGTCAAATCGCTTGTATGAATGCACATTCTGCACTGTTTCGTGAAATTCTATTTTGTCATCATTACTAACAATGGTGAAAGAAAGATATTTGATGTTCGACAATGAATGCTTCTGGTTTATTTATTTGGAAGAGCTCGGATGTCAAGTACTTCCACACTCGTCAAAGACATTGAAACAACGTTGAGGAGCACTGAAGTTCAGGTTAGTGAAGTCCTCATGAAAGCTACTAAAGAAACTGATGAACACGTGGTAAATATTTGATATTTAATAAAACCTGCTAATTCTTTGTTTTTCTTCAGAATACGTCTACCGGAATAATGGAAGAAAATAAACCACACAAGTCATATTGGTATTTGTACGTTGTAATTCCTTTGGCCGCCTCTCTGTTTCTTATATGCATCGGTTACATAATTTGGAGATGGTTGCTAAGAAGAAAGAACAGTGGTAAATGATCACCAAAAACGGCATATAAATTACTTTCAAAATTTTGTACACGTTGTGTCAATATCATTTTTCATTAGAATACTTTAGAATTTCATATCATTTGGACAGTTTTAATTCATATTACTATGTACATGCTTTCGATTGCTTACATAGTAGCACATGTAAACCTTTTTATAAAATATTAAACATCATTTTCAATATTTGCGTTATCGCTTTCACATCATCAAAAGCGCATTATGTCTCAAAATTTCTACAAACTCATCTCGTAAATAAGTAGTATTGTGTAGAACAGCGTCAATTGTTTTCTTTAAAAGCTTTGTCTTTAAAATGACCTTAACCAGAAGTTCTTTATTCATCAGCATTACATAATAGCCTTACGGTTTGTATAAAGATTTTATGGCTTTTCCAGTGTAATCAATTTCATATAATATCAAAGATGTAAAGAAGTTCTTGTAGACAGAGTGTCACTTATAGTTAAATATTAGCTATGGATAAAAACTGCCAGTATTAAAAAGACTCCTCTGGAATGTATCTGATATTGCAAATATGTGATTATGTATACATATGACGAGGGGACAAAAAAAGTGGTTAGTTCACTCATTTTTCAGGCCATCTATGAAAACACGTATTAGGCGACTTGTCTGAAGAACATTATCTAACCAACTGAATTGAACTCATTTAACGGTCAGAAAACACGTCCGCCATAACCCTGATGTATGCAGATGGGACGAAAAGACCGGGTTGAACACCATAATGTTATGATTTCACGATTGAAACCATATTTATTTTTAAAAAGGAATGAATCGAGAGAAGAAATTTCTTTTCAATTAGTTTTTCATTATGGCTGTACACTAATATATATATATATATATATATATATATATATATATATATATATATGATTTACAATAATTAAATAACAATCATGGAGTAAATACGTTACGTAATAATTATATATTACATCGATTATAAACTAACATTAATTGGAAGAGAAGGATTAATTATTTTATAAGTCATCTGCTACTTATGATAACATTACTCTCCTCTCAAGCAAATATGTACAACAGGAAGACTCTAAGGTCATACAACATTTTCTGCTTCATTACAACTAGCAGGTATTTATCCCAGATACCTGTAAAATGCATGGTAGTAATTCAATCCTTCACATTCCAGTTTGCCGTAACACAAAAATCACTGGTTCTTCTTCAGCCAAAACGTGTTTAGACCAGAGTTCGGGACATTTCGATGTCTAATGTAAACGAACAAATTGCATCGACAGAGACGTAATTGTCTTTTTCAGATATGATTTGAACCACTCTTATGAAAACAAATTATCATCAAAAGCACATCATATGATGAAATTTGATTGAAGAATAGGCTCTCTGCTAGTCACAGTGAATTCAAACACTCCACATTAATTATTAGGTAACTTGATCTAGTTTTTTGTCTAAGTATCATTCCACTATCTGCACAAATACACAAATAATCTGGAGATGTAGACCACAGGGAAGATGTTGATTTTTTACTGCATAAAATTTTTAATAGCTTTCTTTGAAAATGCAGAGATCGTGGACATACAGATATGATAGTATATTCAGATCGAGACATACCGTTTTAGAGCATTAGTTTCGTAGTGCTATAGATATATTTCACTGAGTCAGTTTTTTGTTCCCGAAATCATTCTCACTCCCGTAAAGATATAAATATATTACGTCTAATGAACCAGTTAAATACCATCATTATTCATGACAGGTGAAGAAATGTTACTTTAAAATGAAAAAAATCACAGTACTTTCAAACTAATTACAAGGTGTATTCAAATTTAGTAATCTCATACTGTGTTTAGCATTATAAAATCCAAACATTTTTGGGTGAAGAATAACTGTCGGGTCAAAATGAAGATACTCGTGCACTACAATCAATATCAGAACAGGGTGATTAGGTTAACAACGATTCTAAATGTCATCATAAATGCAAATCTACAATTTTACCTAAACAAGTATTGCCACTAAGTTATTCAACTGATAACTGTTCGCACAATAATAGATCTAAATTACAATAAATAGCAAAGTTATAAGAAATATAAGGAAATTACTGAACGCTCAAAACAACAAGTTTTATTCTATCCTTTCTGGATAGATCAATTGATTGTTTGTTGCTTTATAACACAAATTGTTTCAAATTCTGGGAAATTGCTCCAATCTAAAACCAATATGCATAATCACAATCAAATCTAGCAACACATTCAAGTGGAGAACAATCAATATGGACAAAATATCAATTAGGACAACATAGATACAGTTTTATAAGAAACATAGAAAACCAGTGAGAACACTATTATGAAATGAAACATTACAATCTCAAAGGCATCAAAAAATTAAAAATAATGAACAAGTAAAGAACCCATTAAGAATAAGTTACAAACGTATGCATGGATTGATTTTCACACATGAAAATTTCAAAATAGATCTTACAGGCATTTCTCACAAATTTCAAAATCAACTCCCTCACTTCGGTCAATAAGTTGAGGAACTTGAAAATACAGATATCCCGTGATTTATGAATGAGTACTGTAGTTCGATCTCAAAACTCGTTTGTAGTAATCGCGTGAATAGCTAAATGAACCTCAATAAATTTAGTTCAAGAGTTGTATATATTTATGTATGTGAGTAGTCATTTCAGATAATCTACTTTATTCATGCATCTGCAAATAAGTAGGACCACAACTCCATATAAAGTTTCTTCAATGATTTTATTATTTGAACACGTTTCAATAATAGCTTGAAATTTAAAAGGTTTAATTGTTCTTCAGTTATATCACATGAAATCAGTCTGAAATGTTCCATAAATCAACATTCACAAGGTATCTATTTCATGATTAGATATTTCAATGTGATTACTAAATTCACAGGCCTTTGGGAGTAAATGAGCTTGAAATCAGATTTTCCAGTTCATAACTATGTATTTTGATATCTGGTAACACTGAATGCTACATAATGGGAAATTGGTCAATGATTCAAAAGAAATCTAATATTACGCAGTAAGGTATGTTCAGATAATTGGATCGTGAAACATAGATTTGAAAAAAAGTATTATGGAGTGAATAATTGGTAGGAACGGATGAAGAAAAGTAAACAAATGAAGAGTATGGACAATAAAAATTATTTATTGAGGCCAAGTGAGTGATAGGAGTGTTACAAATTTTCTTATAAACGCAAAGGCTTGGATTATTGGCTGAAATTCATAAAGCAACTACCATGTGTAAGAGACGTGATCAAACCACATAAGGAAAACTAGCAAGACTGCAATAAATAACTTTATTTGATCTATTTCAGTCAACTATTTGGTCGCTATCGGTCAAGTGTGAAAGAACTGCACTCCACATCGCCGTGATAGTATTTAATCTTAACTACAAAAGAAGATGTACACTAACTCTTTGATTCAGTTTTTTGGTAGTCTACCCAATATACCTTTCTCCACAGGAGCAGCTGAATTTGTAGATAAGCATAGAAGTGACATTACCAGGTAACATATCCCTGAGTCCAAGAATCAACATAGATCGAGTCGAGTACGATGTACTGAGGTCGGCTGAATTAAACGTTCTCTTCACTGCGTGTAGCAAACAAGAAAATATCGATACCAAAAGCTAATAATCAACCTTCTCTTCCAGAAACTTCAATTCATGGGTGATGTAGCTGGTGATGTAGTACTTGATAGACTAACTTATGATATTGATATATGAGTGAAGCGAGGCCTTTGACTAAAAGACGGACACTTTTTCTGCTAACCCTTCAATTTCTCTCACGAAAAGAAATATTCACTTCGCTCACATATTTCCATGTCCGTAGGTGACTGTCAGTCATATGAACACATTATTAGAAAGCGATATTGTTTATCTTCAGATTCATATTAGGCTGACTACACGAAAAAGAGAGTACAATATCATTTATTGATCAGAAAGAATGTGCTAATAAACAACAAGAATGTATATTCATTGATTTTTCTACAAAACAACAGCTAAGGTCAATCACAAGATGTTTTTGAAATCACACTCCCAGCAAATGTTCACTGTAATTATCATTATTGTTCCCTTGAGAAAAATCTATATCATATTAGAAAACCTTAAATAGATGCAATGATTATACGTTCTATTCAAGCACTCATTCCTGACTAAATAGTCGATATAACAGACCTCAGTGTAAAGAGTTCTGATACGACTAAAGGAGCACATAATGTGCTCACATGAAACAATTACTGTTCATCAATGACAATGCGTTTCTTTCGCATAATGTAATCTTCTGAATCACTTAAATCATATATATCTCTTCCGTCGCGCATTATTGTCTTCGGTAAATTGGAGATGTGAAAGATGTGTGATCAGTTGACAACAATGGAGAAGGCGAAATACAAACAAATAACGGAACGAACAGTCAACGATAAGCATAGTGGAATTGAAAAGTCGCATCAATATCTCTCTCAACAGCACCAGTTAGGAGAAAAACGAATTAGGACGTTTCAGTGGAAGTTCATTCTGATCATAAATAACCTACCAATACGATTGAACAGCTTCACAAATTCGCTATTGTCAAGCAGAAACTTTTCTTCACTGAAAAGTTGACATTCAATTTATTCGACGAAATGATTTCGTCCGATTTTCTTCACAATCATGATTAACTTTATTATTATCTATTCAGCTTCTTGTCCTATTTGACCATTGAAAGTAATGGGCACTGCTGTATGGACATTTAGGTGGCTGAATAAAAGAAGAAACTGAATAGACAATAATAAAGTTATTCATGATTGTTAAGAAAATCGGACGAAATCATTTCGTCGAATAAATCGAATGTCAACTTTTCGGTGAAGAAATGTTTCTTCTTGACAATAGCGAATTTGTGAAGCTGCACAAACTTAGTGACTGGTGATTTATTAGGCTTGTATTGTTCTGTAGTAAAATATGAGGGTTTCGAAGATTAGCAAATTTGACCAATCTTATTGAGTTGTGGGTCATTTGAAATCAAATTGAATGGTTTAAGTAACAATTTGCAGAGTTCACTGCTCTGAATTCGGAGAACAATTTATCTCTTTCATCACTCTTAATAGCAAGACTAATATAAACTGA